TTCCTCCTAGGTGCAGATCTAAATGCAAAACACCAGCAATGGGGAGCCAGGTCCACAAATTCCCGAGGGCGAACATTGCTATCTGCACTTAATTCCCATCGCAGCAACATCCTTTCACCTAATACACCCACATACTGGCCAACAGATCCCAACCGCAATCCCGACCTTCTAGACTTTTTCCTCCACAAAGGTCTAGGATCACTACACTGTTCTATTTCAAGGTTTGATGATCTTTCCTCAGACCATAGTCCTCTAGTCCTAACCGTTTCCACATCTCCCATTCCCAAATCATCCCCACCTTCATTTATCAGGGGGCCAGTTAACTGGAACCTTTTCCGTCAAATACTGGAAGATAATATTGACCTCAGAGTTTCCTTAAAAACACCTGAAGACCTCGACGATGCAGTGCATTCCTTCACTACCCTGATCCAGCAAGCAGCTTGGACTGCATCCTCACCTGATCGTCCCAAAAAATACCATAACATAAATCCTTTACCTCAAGATCTATTGGACCTAATCCATAGCAAACGTTGCTCTAGGACCCTTTGGCAAAGAACCAGGCATCCTGATGACCGGAAATCGTATAATTATTATTCCAAACAGGTAAAAAAGAAACTGGAAACTTTTAAAACCCAATCCTACAATTCCTACCTCTCCTCATTATCCGCTAGTGATAACTCCCTCTGGAATGTAACCAAAAAAATCCTTAAATTCCAGTCCATTTCCCATCCACTTCGCCGTGATGATGGTTCCTGGGCTTCGTCAGATGCGAATAGAGCAGAGGAGTTTGCTAAACATTTATCCTACACATTCACCCCTCATCCCGAACTCCATCCCAGCCACACTGCTGAAGTTGAAGAATTCCTCTCTTCACCAATTCCTCTCTCTCTACCTCCAAAACCTGTTAACCCCTCTGAGGTCAAATTCCTTATAAACAAATTAAAACCCCGAAAATCCCCTGGATATGATCTCCTCACTTCACAAATCCTCAGACAACTTCCCAAAAAAGCAATCATATTCCTTACCTATCTATACAACTGCATCCTTCGCACAACCAACTTTCCTTTGGTGTGGAAACATTCCATAATCATCCTGTTTCCAAAACCAGGTAAACCTGTTAATAACACATCATCCTATAGACCGATAAGCTTACTCCCGATCCTCTCAAAAATCTTTGAGAAAATCCTTCTCAAACGCATCCTACCCATAATCGAATCCCACAACATCCCTTCTCATCAGTTTGGATTCCGCTCAAGACATTCCACTGTCCAACAAGGCCTTCGTGTTGTGGACCATATATCCTCTGCACTTGAAAACAAGCATTATTGCACTGGTGCCTTTCTGGACGTAGCACAAGCTTTCGACCGGGTGTGGCACGATGGCTTGCTTTTCAAGCTCAAAACCCATTTACCCCAATCCTTATACCTAGTCCTCAAATCCTACCTCTCAAATCGTTCCTTTCAAGTCCGTTGTGACACCGCATTCTCCACTTACTATCCAGTTGAGGCTGGTGTTCCACAAGGCAGTGTCTTGGGCCCAGTTCTCTATATCCTCTTCACTTCCGATATCCCTTCAAATCCCGATACATTTCTAGCTACATTTGCTGATGATACTGCCATTCTATCTTCCCACTCAGATCCTCAAATAGCATCTCTAAACCTACAATCTCACCTCTCTTTGATTGAGCAGTGGTGCAACAACTGGCGCATCAAAATCAATGAATCAAAATGCAAACATATCACTTTTACCCTGCGACGCAGATCCTGTCCGTCAATCCTTTTTAATTCAATTCCACTTCCCTACTCAGACACAGTCCGTTACCTTGGCTTCCTTCTTGACAAAAGACTAACTTGGAACCCACATACCAGACTTAAAAGACAAGAACTTAACCGACGATATGGCCAGCTGTATAGATTACTAAGTAGGACATCCCATCTTTCGATTGAAAATAAACTTTTAATCTACAAGACCATACTGAAACCTATCTGGACCTACGGACTTGAACTGTGGGGAACTGCTAAACATTCGAATATCAAACGCATCCAATCCTTCCAGTCCAAAGTACTTAGAACAATAGTCAATGCCCCATATTATGTCACAAACAAGACCCTACACCATGACCTTAACATCCCATTTGTCCTCGACATCATCCCAACCAGATTCTCAAACTTTCACCAAAACCTTATCCATCATCCAAATCCTCTAGCTCAATCCCTATCCAGCTCCCTTCATCCCTACAATCCTCCACGAAGGTTAAAACGGCAGTGGCCCAGAGATCTCTTGTAAATATGCTTCTGGAGTCCTGGCAATGGCCAGCTTCTCCACTCATGTCCCGAGCGTCTGTGGCTCTAGTGCCCTCTTTCAGTCTCCATTGGCTTCTAATACTAGTGATGCGGCTGGAAAAGTGGCACTGGGATCTCCTGGAGTCTTGCTTTGCCTTCCACATGTGGGGGAAAGAGCCTGGCTCGGAGATTCTTGGGCTAATGTATATATTGTATATATGTATGATTGTGTTTATAAGTTTCTTTTTATGTTATTGTTTATTTATTTTTTTTCTTTTATTTTTTTTCTTCATCAGTATTATTTATTTACTTTTTATATTTATATTTATTTCTCTATTATTTGTATATATTGTTTGAATGAGAACTCTTAGCCCTAATACTTATAGCCCTCCAGTGGCTGATTGTATTATTATTCAATAAATAGATAAAAAAAAAAAAAAATTAAAACAAAGCAAAAAACACATGCATACCTATGTATACTATATTCGTTCAAGCGAGGGAACTCTGAGGAAGGCTTCTCTCGCCAACTATGGAGGGAAAAGCTGAATTCCAGGAGAACCCTGCGCTACTCTAACTGCATCACTGGTACTAAAACCAGCGGAGATTGATCGAGAGCACTTCAGCCACATACACTCATGTCTTGAGTGGATAATCTGGCCACTGCCAGAACTCCAATATATAAAAGGTAGCGGGGCCACTGCTATTTCAACCTTCTTGGAGGATTATATGGATGAGTGGTGCTTGATAGGGATTGCGCAAGAGGATTTAGATGATACGCAAGGTTCTGGTGAAATTTGTAGAATTTTTCTGGGATAAGGTCTAGGACAAATGGGATGTGGAAGTCATAATTTAGGGTTTTGTTGGTTACATAGAAAGGAGCATCGACTATTGGTCGAAGGACTTTTGACTGGAAGGATTGCATGCGTTTGATGTTAGAAAATTATGCTGTCCCCACAGTTCTAGTCCGTATATCCAAATAGGTTTCAGTATTGGCTTGTAGATCAGTAACTTGTTTTCAATAGAACGTTTATATTTTCTATTTAGTAGACCGTATAGTTTGCCGAATCGTCGGTTAAGTTCCTGTCTTGTAAGTCTAGTATGAGGGTTCCACTTCAGACAGAGGTGCATTTGTAGGTTTAGTGACGCTGTTTTAGGATCTGAGCTGGTTGAAAGGATAGCGGTATCATCAGCGAATGTTGCCAGGAGAGTATCAGGATAGACACGAATATCTAGACAGGAATAGGTGAAAAGAATGTAAAGGATGGGAACCAAGACGCTGCCCTGCGGAACTCCCGTGGTTTAATAGCAGGAATGGCATGCACGTGTGTGATATGCCAACCCTGCAAAATCCCGTGTAGCCGAAAGGCAAGGAAGGGATGCATAAATAAATAGATAAATAATTAATTTTGAAGAGTAGTTTAGTGGTTTGCCGAGTTTCAATAATTAGTGCCACATCAATGTTCTTGCCAAGTAGTAAAGTAGATAGTTTGTCGGCTTAATTTCTAACACCATTCGCATTCCAAAGGAGAATGGATATGAGTTTTGGGATGTGAGTCATTAAAGATTTTTTAAAGGAGAGATGACGTGAGATACGAGATTTGTTAAGAGTGATATGAGTGGAGTGACAAGGGATTTGAAATCGGTGAGAAAAAGATGCTAACATACTCGTGATATCTGTTGCATTTGAAGGAGGAGGAATATGATGAATTTTTTGTTGATGGTTAGGTATAGTAGGATGAATAGGATTTTGAGTTTGTAGTTGAGGAGGTTGTTGTCGAGGCAGGGCTTGACATTTATCGGTTGAGTTATTACCTCTAAGTAGTTGGAAGAATGAAACATTATTGTTTACAATTCTAGAAGGCTTTCTCTCTCTCTTCTTTGTCTTAGTGCTTTATCTTCAATCCAACTTTTCTGGTGTCTAACTCCGTCTGACCGAGTACTCTTCGGCGCCTTACTATCCTTCACTTGGTGATAATACCGCATATGGTGAGAGAGAAAAAAATAAAAAACAAAAGATATCAAACAGTAAATATGAAGTACTCTGATGTATACTTGGACTGTATTAAGTGAATAATCAGAGAGATTCCGCTGAAAAACAGGTAAAAACTGAGAAACGAGTTGAGAACACAACCTTCGCATTATCTCATCCACTGCCTTCTTAGTGTGACTATTTAGATATACAATACGATTTTTGTCTACTGGATTCATTTTCTATATTTTATCATCAATAAATAAGGCTGATATAAAATATATACATATACTTGAAAGTGTAACTCCATCAGAAACGAACTTAGTGACTTCTTGAAATAGCCGAAGATATCTCAGTTTTCGGTTTTATTCATTTATTATGTGTTCATATCTAACTATAATTACTGTCCATGTGATAGATTGTTGTATTTATGAATAAATAAATGAAAAATAAAATTTATTTATTATTTTGTTTTGCAGATTTTTACAGCCTTCGTATCAGTAGCTTTTCCGATTTTCCTGACATGTTACACGTAACGCATGGAACATGTAGAAAATTTGCTAGCAGAAGCCCGTATGGTGCCTGAGAAGAGAAGCGGTATAGAGCTGATACAATTGTCGGACATCGACCTGCATTGGAAGATGAATGTTATAATTTGTTTCATGCGCCAATTGTAACACCTCTACTCAATAGAGGGATAATAATATTGTGATCGAAATTAGAAAATCTTATATTATAATAAAGAAGCATTAAAATTGTGACGAATACATACCGAAGTCTTCGCCATTCGTGACAATGGTTGGGTAATCTGGAAGGCAAATTAATTTTGATGCAGTTACATTTTGTGATTCCTCTTCTTTATTCAGATGTCTTGCATAATCCATTATGATTTCTTCAAACGTTAAGTTATTATGATTTAACTGTTCAAAGATTACGTGAGGTCCTTAAAAAATATATTAATGATTATTAATAAGGTCAAGCTATAAAAATATATTAATAAGGTCAAGCTATTAATGATTAAAACCAAATAACTATAATTTAATATCTATGTTAATAAGAAGATATAGTATGTATTGATTAGATGTCTGGCATAAGTTTTGAAGCCTTATAAATTATAGGCTTTTTAGTATTCATGTTTACCTATATCTGATTCAAAGCTTATAAATGGGTATGTTGGACGCAATATGAGTCTCTGAATTGTGTTTATCGAACTCGTGCAATGACAAAATCTTTTTTATATATTATTTCACTGGCTGATTAAACGGCATCGTTGTGTAGTGTGATTTCCGTTTCCTTGAAAGGTATTTAGTTGATTTTAAAAATATATAATAAACAACCAAAAAACATAAAGGATTGTCAAATGAGGCTTTAGAAAATCCAAAGAAATCAACAGCGAGAAACTAGAGCATACTCAATGAAAACAGAAAGAGCAGCAAGAACAGATATGATTGCCCCTGATGATGATCAAGTATATGAACCAAAAGGGGATAGAAGTATTCCAGTACATTCTAAAGCTCGTATGGGAAAAAAAGAACATTACAAAGGATTGGGAAGTATCTGTAATAGTCCCAATATGTAAGAAAGAGTACAACAGAGAATGTAAGTACCAGAGGGGGATATCTCTTCTTAGTGTCCCGAGTGAAATATACTCAAAGATTTTAGAGACACACCTAAGAAGAACAGTGGAATCCTCCCTGAGTGAAAACCATACGGATTTAGGCCACTTAGAAGTACCCAGAATCTGATATTTACTTTAAGACAAATTTCCGAGAAATAGAAAAACAGATATATGCTTGCTTTGTAGACCTCACTAAAGCATTTGACCGAGTAAAGAAGCAAGGCATTGCCTTAGAAGACATGGCATCGAAACGGGCCTTCGTAAGGCGATTCTAAGTCTCTAATAGGACTTAAAGAAATGTTGTGAGAAGATGTAATAATATATCGGAAGAGTTTAAAACTAATCAAATTATTAGACAAGGGTGCAGTTTAAGTCCTCTGCTATTTACACTAGTGCTAGACAATGGAATAAAAATTGCAAAACATGATATGATATGATATCAAAAAGGATACAGAAATCTACAGCCTGTATTTTTTTCTCTGTTCGCTTATGCAGACGATTTGGTAATTTTCGGAAGCAATGGGCGAAACCAGTTCAATCTCCGCATTCTTCAGGAAGAATTATATAAGAAAAATATGCAAATATATGTGGAAAAAACCAAAGCTATGAGGATTGGCAAAAAACAAGGAAGAGGAGACAGAATGTGCACTTGAGTAGAGTTCCATTGGAACAAGTGAAACATTTTAAATACCTCGGTGCCCACATCAATGAACATGGATGGATCGACGGAGAAATAAAGGAAAGAGTGAAGTCTGCAGGAAGGTGCTTCAACGCCATCAAGAAAGGATTCTTGAACAACAGAGAAGTGAGCAAGGAGACCAAAACGATCATGTACAAAAATACTTTCCTCCCGATAATGACTTACTCCAGCGAGTCATGGACCCTCACTACAAAGCAAATCAGTCTGATTAAGGCCAAGGAGATGCGATTCCTGCGCAGGGTCGAAGGAACAACAAAAAGAGATCGCATAAGGAACTCCACAATAAAGAAAAGATTAAAAATAAAACCAGCCGAAAATTCCTGTGCTAGGGGAAAATCGTTTGAGATGGTTTGGCCATGTCTCTCGGATGCCAGAGAATCGAGTGGCCAGGATAGCAATGAAAAGTAAAGTTGAGGAAAGAAGATTTCAGGGAAGACTTGGAACCTGTCAGTGTCAAGGAGGCCTTTGGCAGAAGGGATATTGACTGGAGGAGGAGGCGGCAGTTGACTCAGGATAGAGAGTTGTAGATTCGACTCTACAAGTTGGCTCCTCACAACGCTCAGCGGTAGAAGAGGAAACAATTAAGAAAAAGAGGAAGAACAATGATGCTACGAAAAAAATGCAGAATACAGCATAGATGGAATGACAATCCAAGTTAGTGTCATGGACAATTCAAATTTCTTAATGAATAAGAGCGAATCAGTTAAGTGGTCATTCCCTCCAAAAAATATTTTGGGGTTAAGATCAATGCCATATCAAGAAATTGATACAAGTGATATTCCGTTTTGCATCTGGTACCATGAGGAAATCTTTCTTTTCTACTGATTGCAGTATATAAAACGGTCAATAATCAAACCTGCAAACATTACTAGATCTAACCCTAAGGAATCCATATGTTTTGTAAGACGCATAGAATTTCTATTGGAGGTCTAAATCAGAAGTCCCTAAATATTTCACGATCGCAATAATTTCCCTAGCTGAATATTTCATAAATATGTAAGTGTAAGTAAAAACTAATTTGAAACAACAAATTTGCATATAGGTACTGAATTGAGGATAAAGAAAAATAACTTAATTTAACCTTATGCACTGTTTATTAATTATAAAAATGAGTAGGGCGCAGAAAACAATACACATATTGTAGTTAGCCTTCGGATAGCTGAGCTAAAATTATTCCCTAAAATCATTCCTATTTATGTGTTTACTAGAAGATTCATAGTTTAAAATCATTCATTAATTTTATATATAATAATTTATTATCTACTTTCTTACCTGAAGATGTATTATCAAATGGTAGTGTTTTTATTTTAGGCAATGCAGTACTATTCGAAACTAATACCTTTTGATTATTTTTATTTTTGTTAATGCGCTTATAACCTAAAAAAAATAGTTATAATAAACAATATATCATTAGAAATTGGTTCTAAAACTTGTTTTTAATAGCCTAGTTAAATAGAATAAAGTTATTTTTATAAATTTATTAAGTAAAATGGCTGTTCTAGAAATACACCAATAAAATTTCATTCAGTTCTCAGTGGCTGACATTAGATTTTTTTTCATTAAGATTTTAGACAAAATGCTATTTTGTAAACATTAGGTTTAGCATTAGGAGAAAACAATCAAATTCTATTGAAATCGATAGCCTAAACTAGGCATGGCTAGTGTATATTTTGTATAATGTTTTGAGAAGAAGCGAACAGATTATTTTTTGTATATTTTATACACAATATAGTGGTTATTATACAATTGTCTAAATAGGTTAATTACTTGCATTACAATATTACAGCCAAATTTTAATATGTAACCTTACCTTTAATAATAACGTTACCTTTATATCTTCGCTGCAGAGACTTTACTATGTTTAGCCGTTTTCGTCGTTTATTTTCTATCTGGTTGTCTTCCTTAATACCTGAAAATACGTAAAATAATATAGTTTCTCCTTCAAATTATACAACTCTTACCATTAGTCAAGTGTAAAACCTATTATTTTTAATGTTTATTTTTTAATAATAAACTCCATATTGGTTTCCATATTGGTTTAGATTAAAAAATGTCATTGCAATGTTAAAAGGAATTGTTTATAATGAATTTTTTATAAAAAGTAAAGTTTATAATGATAAGATTATATGAAATTTAAACTATAAAGTCCAGGGATACCTGTCTGTTAGAGTTCTGAAAATTTGGTGATGATGAAAAAGAAACACAATGTAAACAAAACGAAAATTTACTTCTGAAATAAATCAATTATGACACTACACATACTGGCATTAATTAACAGATTGAAAAGTTATTAGGAAGGTTATAAAACAAAAAAACAGTGTTGCCAGGTAGGTTTACAATATGGGTTGGTTATAGTCATTGTTAATAATCCCCCTCTTCTCCTACTCATGCGGCATTGGTCTCCAACACCCCAACTTGATGCATGGGATTGAGCACCAGCCCCATCTTCGTTGTACACCATCGTTGTTTCTCTCTGGGTAAGGACATTAAGACAAGGTTTTGTGGAGACATCAGCCACCATAAATTCGGTGGATTTTTTAAGCACTGAAACTTGTCTATTCTTCACAGCTTCTCGAACAAAATGATGGTGCACGTCGAAGTGTTCTGTTCTGCTATGGTGAGACGAGTTTTTGGTGAGTTCAACAGTTCCGTTGACCGTTGTTGTCAACAACAGTTCCGTTGTTGTCATATTTGATGTTTATCGTCATGTCAGGTTTCAATTTAGCAACGAGTACCATCCTCAGCCACAGAGCTTTAGCTTTCTGAGTCGCATTTTGAGATAGACATGTACTCCGCCACTGTAGTAGATTGGGCTACAGTTTGTTGCTTCTTACTTGACCAGCTAACAGTTCCTGATGAAAGCAAAAACACATATCCAGTAACAGAAATGCGGTCCATTTGGTCATCGGCAAAATCTGAGTCTGTATATTCATGAATCGGGTTCCTTCCATCGCTGGTTCCTTGAAGATACAAAAAAAAATTCTCTTTAAATAAGACCATTGTGTCATTTTCGGGTTTGAGTTGAATCTGCTAAGTACCCTCACTGCAATAGGTAATTCTGTTATTGTACAGTTGGCAGCATACATCGGTGATCCAACAGCAGTTCGATAAGGTACCTCAGCATCCTCAGAATCTTAATTCTTCATAATCTTCAGGCCATATTCCATTGAGTTCCCTGTGGTTTACAATCCGACATGTCAAACTTATGAAAAAATGTCTCTATATATTTCTTTCGAAATACCCATTTCCACTTGATTGCGTTGTGGTCCTTAGGGCTATCAACAAGTTTCCAAGAATTATTTCTGAGAAGTGAATCATACTCTTCTTTGACGGCCATCTTCCAGCTTTTAGAATCTGGTTGGGAAAGAGTATCGTCCGAAGTCATTGGATCATCCAAAGAATCAATGGAGATTGTAACACTCATTGCGAAATCTTCAAAACGCTGGGTTAATTTCCACATTCTCTGAGAGAGTTCACGTTTTGGAAGATCTGCTGCAGAAGATGAACTACCCGATGATAATAAATCTTCTTTAAAGTTGTGTTCAGATGGATCTTCTTCATCTTTTTACTGACCGTCCGATTCTGAAATCTGCAATCCTGACGGAAGTTGGGAAAGCTCATTATTTCCATAAAAATCAGCCATATTAGGTTCATCTGAGTTTTCTTTGGTGCCCCCTTTGAAAGAATTTTCGTCAAAAAACACGTCCCTGGATTTTGTGACATATCCAGTAGAAAGGTCGATTAGTCTATATCCTTTAGAATTATCGCAATACCCAGTGAATACATATTCCTTGGATTTTGGGTCCAACTTACTTCGCTTGCAGTTAAGCATAAGCGGTGCATCCAAATACCCCTGTTGTTAACTGCGATTGTGGGACTTATATTTTTTAAGTAACAGGCGGTATTCACAGCCTCCGCCCAGTACTTGGCGGGCAACTTCGCCCCAAGCATCATTGATCTCGCCTTCTCTACTAACGTCCGGTTACCTCTTTCTGGGACACAATTTTAATGTGGACAATAGTCGATTGATCTCTAGTGCTTAATACCATTTTCATTACAAAATTCTTCAAAAGATTTGTCGACAAATTCATTTCCATTGTCAGACCTCAAAATACGAATTTTACTATGGCTTCATCTTTATGTTTTAAGAAATAAATGGAAGCTTTATTATCCGTGAAGGTGATGAAGTAGCGTTTTCCGCTCATGGAATTCACTTTCATAGGCCCACAAAGATCAGTATGGATTAACTCCAAGATTTCATTTACTCGATGTGCTTTACCTGAAGGAAATGGTTTTCGGACATGCTTGCCAAAAACACAATCTCTACAAATGCTGTTGCAGGGCACGGCTGAAAACTTCAATCCGGTGACAAGACCTAAAAGGCGTGCCATTCCACCTGAGCTCAAATGGCGGAGTCGCTTTTGCCATAACAGAGAAGTCTCATCAGTTGAGGCATATATATATATATTTGTGTGTGTGTGTGTGTTTGTGTTTGTAAATTTAAATAATTTATTCTCAAACCTTCTGTGGATGAGACAACCGGATTGTTAGTAATCATTCTTTTCTGCAGTGATAGAAAACGGTGCTGAAAGTTATCTGGTTCAGCTAACATACGCTTTAGCAAAACTTTATGATGGGTTGAAACTGAAACAAACAATAGTATTGCAAGATTTTTCAAAAGTAAAAGAATTAAATACTATATTTCTTATTTGCTTAAGTTTCATGAGGCATACAACTAGTATTATATTTAATCAAAGGAGTTCGATATTCACAAGTTTATTAATTAGGTCATTCCAAAGGATTGTTAATATCTTAAGGATGATTTTCGCATTTCACTTCTCAGCTTTACTATGACGCAGAAAATTGTCAAAAGAAAATGTTGAAATATTCAAATATAAAAGAAAAATTATATAGAAAGTATTCTGGTAAATTTACAACTACAGCTGAAGAATTGAAGAACGAATATAAAATAGTGCATAGGGTAAATGTGATTAGTCACGTGATTTTCGCTGAGTAATGAAAATAATTTGAAAGTCATATGTGGCTCTTGAACAAATGTTGGTGAAGAGCTTGGCCACAGTTATCATCAAGAAATTTAGAACGGAAGAAATTACTAGGAAACGTCATTATATTTTATGATGTAAGTTACATAAACGCCATAAAGTATCATGGCTGTCACTTGGAAAAAAAAACAGATGTAGCATTGAAAGGAGCTTGTTAAAAGAGGGCTAGTAAAGACACAGACACACAAACACAATAACGCACAAATATAAACATATTTTCACTACCTTTTGTGACGCCATCATCAAAGTCCTCGAGAGTAAATGGTCGCTCCATTGAGAGGAAACGTTCAGTGTCTATATAATGAAATCCTCTGGTCGGAATTTTTTTGACTAAAACATACGAAAACATTATCAGTTTTCAATTTATATATGTATTTTATAATAATAAATAATGATATGATTCATAATAAATTATAAAGAAGTATTATAAAGAAGAAAGAGAAAAACCTTATTGAAAAATTACGTAATACTAAGGTTATGTATAATACTAAAACGTAAAGGCTCAAAGGTATATTTTAAGGTCCCTTTAGACATTTCACAAACTACGGGAAACATTATTATGTAACTTCACTAACTGAGACATTAGCGCTAAGCTAAACCTTTTTTTCTATTTCTCTTGTTACCGGCAGTAGATAGAAATATCAAAAATAAAAAACAAAAACAATAGCATAGTGGAACAACCATTTATATTTTTGCATGTTCTATAATTTGTGAAATGTCTAAATGCACCTTTAATTAATACTAAGAATATTATTTAATATTTAAAAATAAAATTACGTGATCGCTATTATACCAAATAATTATAAATATATTCCTGGTAACTGGTAAAACTGGTAGCAGTTAATTGTTTTGTAAGTAACGAAGGAAAATAAGTACCCAATTTCGGGTCTCATGGGTTGTATTATGCTTGAACATCTGGAATGATAGTTATGAAACGATTTAATACTAAAAAACGAAGATAGCTGTAGCTCTTTGACCACATAGCTCAATTGCTTACACCAGGGGTCCCCAACATTGTGCCATCGTGATATCATTGGAGCCCGTGGGCAAAATTATGCCTAATGTATAACATGACCTTTATTGGCGACCACTGTTGCATGCAGATCGACAAGTTTTCAATAAAATATTGAATGCATATGTTAATAGTTATTAAATACTTTATTTTAAATATGAGCAATTACTTTGCAAATAGTCATCGTTTAAGATTAGCAATTACATAGCATTTTGAGTTATTTTTATTCCAATCATCATTGTTCTTTTACCTAGGATGCTGCTGATTATCGGGTTTTCAATTCAAATGTTTAAAAATTCAATACACATATATTTAAAAATCTAACAAGATTTTATATATTACTAACACAATCTTTTTAATTTCTTTCTTTGGTAATAAAAGGAAAAAAAATCAATGACTGTTGATAACAACTTATTTTAAACCTGGTCATAGCCCATCCCACTTCTGATTAGTTTTTAATTCCTATTTCAAAATATATAAATCTAATATAAAAAAAATTAAAATGAATAACATTGCTCACACTTGATGTATTCATCTTTTCTTTAGAAATATGTATTATTGATTTTAGAAATAATGAAAGTATCTGTTTGTATACGTTTATCTTTGGTTTTATTGTTAACCTTCACATTTAATTTTTAAATATAATGAACAGTAATCTATCTACAATTCACATTAAATAACTGCAAAAATGATAATAATAACGCGGTGACAACCTCTGACACATAACCTATAGATGTGTCCACTGGTGAAAAAAGGTTTGGGATCCCAGGATTCGAGTAGCCAACCTTCAATTGCATAAAACCATAGAATATAAACACAGATTATTTACCTCTTCTTGTAAAAGCAAAGCCATTCGTGTTTATATCTACTGATTAAAATTTTACTTTTATTCTCTAATGATTAATCTTAATTAGTTATTCAAGAAATGAAAATTCACATCTAAACAGATCTACGAAACAATAGTATTATTTTCTATTATTATTAATTATTATCTAACGTCTCGGGCATGACGTTAAACTGCGACTTGAAATCCCAAAATCAAACCACTGTTCTAGTAGTTTAATAAAAGGTTTATAGTAAGGCCAGCACGCCTTATTTGAAAAAAATATTTCTCTTTCAAACCCAGGACAACTCAAGAATTAAGAATGAGGATGCTGAAGAGGCTGATCAAGAGAAAAAATATTTATACAATAAATGGTTGACCTCTAAAAATGAGAAGGACCTGAGGGAATATAGAAATACCTGTAAAAAAGTAAAAGCTATTAGAAGCAAGGCATTAAGTATCTATTGGGAGAAAACCTGCAAGTAAGTTGACACTTACATTGATGGGCAAAACTCTAATGCTGCTTGGAGGACATTAAACAATTTTTAAAATCCCAAAAGATGTGGAGATAACTTCCCATTGACCAAGAAGCAGCGATGGGTAAATTGCTTCAAATAATTATTTCATGAAGAGCGACTCGAACTCGCATGGAACCAACCAATCTAATGAAATAATATCAAATAAGGCAGTAACAGTTATAGAACTGGATTCAGCTCTCAAAGGAATGAAAAATAGAAAACCTCCATGCCCCGCTTCTATTCCAATAGAATTAAATAAAGCAGGTCCGATCG